AGATGGATGGATGGATGGGTGGAAGGGTGGGTGGATGGATAGATGGATGGATGGATGGGTGGAAGGGTGGGTGGATGGATAGATGGATGGATGGATGGGTGGGTGATGGATGGAAGGGTAGGTGGAAGGATGGGTGGATGGAAGGTTGGATGGATGGAAGGTTGGATGGATGGGTGGATGGATGGAGGGATGGAAGGGTGGATGGATGGATGGATGGGTGGAAGGGTGGGTGGATGGATAGATGGATGGATGGATGGGTGGGTGATGGATGGAAGGGTAGGTGGAAGGATGGGTGGATGGAAGGTTGGATGGATGGGTGGATGGAAGGTTGGATGGATGGGTGGATGGATGGAGGGATGGAAGGGTGGATGGATGGATGGATGGATGGAAGAGTGGATGGATGGATGGATGGATGGATGGATGGATGGATGGATGGATAACTAGTCTGTCACTAGAGACATTTCAGTGAGATGTTGAACTATTATCTGCATTTAGACCTGCTAAGACATAAAAAGTATAAAGCTGATTCTACATCTACTCTTCTACATTATGAGTGATGTATGAGCCTCAGTTGGCACTTTTTTGACAATACTTCACATTTTGACTATTCTTTCTAGGTTGAAGACTGACCTTGGGCACTAGGCTCTGGAAATCAGCAGAACCAGAGATGCAGTTCCTTCCTGAAAACCCATCACTAGATCGAATGCACTGCAGCAGCCTCTGTCCTTCCCGGTCGAGCTCCTCCACTGGTGCTTTCAGTACCTTAAGGGCAGTTTTAAAAAAAGGCTTCAGTGGCATTTCAAGGTTCAGAGTAGTCTGTTAGCTTCAGTCTAGCTCGCTCACCTTTTTCTTCAACTGTGTGTGTTCTTCTATCAACCGACGAGATCCTTCCACATCTGCAGGAAACTCCTTCTTGGACAAAAGCTCCTGTAAAATTCACCAAATTACTGAGAACTTGAACTAAATGGATTTCAACTGGTTCAACTAGCATCACTCAGCTCTGTACCTGTAGGTCCTCCAGTCTGGACAACAGGTGAACTGCGCTGGACATGAACTCTTCCAGAGAAACCCTCAGCTCTAGCCACTCCTCATGGTTATAGTCCAGAGAGCCTTCAAAGTCCTCCGTCAGCTGCGAAGGGTCTACCAGTTTGGCTAGACCTTCGACTGACACCATGTTGGTCTGCTCACAAACAGAAAAATAATAAAGACAGTGATGGGCCACTGAGTCAAATAAAGATCTGAGATCCACACCACTGAGAAGTACACAAAATCCAGATGTTTAATAGTGAGAATAATTTCTAGGAATAAAAGGTCTTAGAGACCCAAGAAGATAATGAATCTGACCTCAAAGGAAAACTTTGCACTGCCGAAGTTTGTCTTCTGTTTCTGCCAGAAGTTATCTGGTTTGATGATGAGCGCCACACAAATCTCTGCTGGGAAGAACTCCTGCAGCGTTTTCAGCAGAGGTTTGATCAGTTCCCACTTCGAGCCGCGCATGTCGATGATGACGGTGAAGCCACGTTTGCAGACGTCCTCGCTGATATGAGACACAGAAATACCATGCAGGCGATGAGGACACGTGACTCTGCTGACATAAAGCGGGTAAAATAAGTATTGAACATGTCACCATTTTTCTCAGTAAATATATTACTAGAGGTGCTAATGACATGAAATTTTCACCAGATGTTGGTAACAACCCAAGTGATCCATACTACAAGCACAAGAAACAATACTACAGTGATTTATTAAATGAAAGTAAAAGTGACATAAAGACAACATGGAGAGTAATGAATACTGT